CATCACCTTCATCAATGATCTTAGCTAGATCTTCTGGATAAACTTGCTACAGCTTCTCCATCAGCACTTGCTGTTTCACTTTGCACTTTTGTTATGGAGACGGAGATATTAGGGAGATTTTTCCTTAAATCTTATGAGCCAACCTCTGCTAGCTTCCAACTTTTCTTCTGCCTCTTCTTCACCTCTCTGAACCTTTGTATTAGGTTATTAAGTATGAATATCTCATGTCCTTAAGTACTAATTTTGACAGTTGACATCTCTGACATTTCACTTTGATACTTCTTATTTTATTATTATTGCGAAGGTACATACTCAGTTTTTCAGGTGCACAGTTTGGCTTGTGATTATCTTTCAAATTTTGTTTTAGAGCAATTTTTGTAAAACTGGAAAAGTAAAAAATTCATGTTATTTTTGAATGTGAGTTCCGTTGTGGAACCAATGCAGTGCAGACAGCTCAAAATACCAGCAAAGAGGGAAGGGTGGGACTAATGAACGCACAGTAGGTTGATGGTTTGAGAAGTTCTGTTCTGGTGATTTTAATGTGAAAATGAGCCACGTTGGTGACTGGAGACTAAGGTGGATAATGATGTGCTAAAAGCTGCAGTAGAAGCAAATCATCTCAACCTACATGTGAATTAGCAGCAAGGTTTGATGTTACTATTCCAACAACATTAGACCATTTGAAGCACATTGGCAAGGTAAAGAAGCTGGATAGATGGGTTCTGCAGGAATTAAATGAGCATCAGAGGAGAAATCCTCTCAAAGTTTGCCTTTCTTTGCTGTCAGGACATAAAGGCGAACCATTTCTACACCACATTATGATGCGTGATAAAAAATGGATTCTTTTTGATGATCACAAGCATTCAGCACAACAGTAGGATAAAGATGAAGTGCCAAAACATAGTCCCAAACTGAATATTCATCAAGAAAAGGTAATGGTATCTGTTTGATGGTCCAGCACTGATATTATCCATTACAGCTTCCTGAAACTTGGTCAGTCGATTACAGTGGATGTTGACTACAGCCAATTGGATGAAATGATGAGGATGCTTGCGATTAAGTAGCTGAGATTGGTTACTAGAGACAGGCCAATCCTCTTGCAAGACAACATTCAACCACATGTTATACAAACAATGCTGCTCATGCTCAAACTATGGCTGCTAGCCTTGGAAACTCTCTGTCTTCCACTGTATTTACCAGACCTTGCATCAACTGACTGTGACTTCTTCTAGGCTTTGGACCACTTCTTGCAAGGAAAAATACTCAGTTCTCTAACATGCTGTGGAAAATGCCTTTCAAGGTTTCATGGTTACTCACTGTCCAGGCTTCTTCACTGCTGGCATAAACAAGCTACCGTTAAGAAGGCAAAACTGTGTTGATAGTTTAGGTGCATACTTTTTTAAATTGTGTTGTTTCTTATTTGAGATATAATTTGATTTGAAATCGGTCCTTTCATATTTACTGACCAGATAGAATTGAAGGGAGTTAGGGCCTTGCTCTAGATTGTTGTGGCTGATTTGATCTTCTCTCCAGACCACTCTTACTTTTCCCATATGAATAATATGGCTGTTTCACTTTCTTAGTATTTGAGTGTTCACTGGAGAAGGACTTCTAATTTCCTTCAAGAACTTTTCCTTTGCATCACCACTTGGCTTACTATTTGGTGCAAGAGGCCTAGCTTTCAGCCTGTCTTGGCTTTGGACGTGCCTTTCTCATTAAACTTAATCATTTCTAGCTTTTGATTTAAAATGAAAGATATATGACTCTTCCATTCACTTGGATATTTAGAGGACATTGTAGGGTTCTTAATTGGTCTATTTTCAATATTCTTGTGTCTCAGGGAATAGGGAAGGCCTAGCTGAGGGAGAGAAAAGGGGAAATGCCTGGTCAGTGGAGCAGTCAGAACACTCACAGTGTGTATTGATTAAGTTCACTGTCTCATATGGGTGTGGTTCATGGTGCCTCCAATCAGTTACAATAGTAACATCAAAAATCACTGATCACAGATCACCATGACAGATATAATAAGAATAGAAATATTGCAAGAATTACCAAAATGTGACAGAGACACCGAGTGAGCACATGCTGTTGGAAAAGTGACACTGATAGACTTGCTAGACAAAGGGTTGCCACAAACCTTCAATTTGTCATAAACAGTGTCTGTGAAGTCCAATAAAGCAAAGTGCAATAAAATGAGGTTTGCTGGCATATCGAGTACTAGAGTTTTCAGTGGCAAAATTCTCTTTAGAGCTTGTGAGTATGCCTAATGTCAATGCATATGAGATTTCAATAGTAGTGTCTGATTCAATGAAGGGAAGTCTAATGTCTTTTTATGTGTGGTGAACTCTTCTTTTACAATAGGCTTTGGAAATTGTCACACTGAAATGACTGGAGCCCATTTCAGACATTTTAGTGGTTCACCTGTATGATTATTTCTTTGTTTAAGAATGAAAATTCAAGCCATAGCATATTTGTGGTACCCTATTCTAAATTTACCAGCTCTCTTTGCTTAGCTTGCTTGTTCTGCCGGTGGAGTTTTTTTATTGACCCTAGAAGGAGATCTTTTTTTTTCTTTCCCTATAGAATGAATGGAGCCGTTAAAGAGTTTGTACTAAACTGTTAATGTAAGAAACTACCTGGAGATTGGATCCAGGGTTCTTTTGTACTTCCCTTCTTAGCAGGAGTTTATATGTATGCCTAAATACAGTTTATAATAAAGTTCAAACTTCTATTTTATTCATTTATTGATTGATCTTTACTTAAGACCCGGTATGTACCAGATATGAAGATATAAAACTGGGGTGTAGGGCAGGATCCCTGTCTACTGTAAAGACATATATAAAACAAATAATTACATATGGTTGGAGATTAGTGCTTAATGTATTACTGGATGAAAGAGTGGAGATAAGTATGATAAATGTTTAGCTAGATGGAAGAATGGAGGTGTGTGTAATTGTATATATTAATAATATATACATGTATATGTATTAATGGAGTACGGACAATAATCACATTACTCTCCTGAGGGAAAGAGCAAGAAAGTCTTCACAAAAGAGATAACTTTTATGTTGCATTTTGAAAGCCATGTAAAATAAATCAGGTAGTTCAAGAACAGGCTATGATTATATCCTCCTGTTTTGTTTTTCTCCATAGAACTTATCACTGTTGTGCATACTGTATTCATTCACTTACTTGTTCATTTGTTCCTTGCTTCCTTCCTTTGTCTGCCATACTAGAATATAAGCTCTGTGAAGACAGGGATTTTGGTCTGTTTTGATTACTCTGTATCCTGGATACCTGGGAAAATACGTGATATAGCAGGAACTTGAACTCAAATATGTATTATATATAGTGAAGGAATGAACTTTGTAAGTCTAGAATAGTTGGGTTTTTCATAATTTTCCTTCAGCTTATTAAGAATATCTCCTTAGAATTTCCTCATAATTTCACTTAATATTTTTTATTATGTGTATTTAAATCTCTCTAGTGATAACATGCTATTTCCATAATGTTTCTCAAATGCATCTCCTATTTTCTATATCTCTTAGTTTGCCTATCCTATCCCATCCTGTCCCATCCCGTCCCGTCCCGTCCCATCCCGTCCCGTCCCGTCCCGTCCCGTCCCATCCCATCCCATCCCATCCCGTTTTTTATTGAGACAGAGTCTCGCTCTGTTGCCTAGGCTAGAGTGCTGTGGTGTCAGCCCAGCTCATAGCAACCTCAAACTCCTGGGCTCAAGTGATCCTCCTGCCTCAGCCTCCCAAGTAGCTAGGACTACAGGTGTGTGCCACCTTGCCTGGCTAATTTTTTCCATTTTTACTTGTCTGGCTAATTTATTTCCCTTTCCCTTTCCCTTTCCCTTTCCCTTTCCCTTTCCCTTTCCTTTTCCCTTTCCCTTTCTCTTTCTTTTCTCTTTTGTTTCCTTCCTCTTCTCTCCTCTTCTCTCTTCTTCTCTTTTTTCATAGAGAAGGGGAGTCTCACTCTTGCTGAGGCTGGTCTCAAACTCCTGACCTCAAGCAATCCTCCTGCCTCAGCCTCCCAGAGTGCTAGAATTACAGGCGTGGGCCACCATGCCTAGCCTCTTAGTTTGTTTAGTCCCCATAATATTTTACATGAACTGATACAGCCTCGTAATTTTTTTTCATGTCTGTGTGTAAGTCCCCTTAAACTTCTTTATAGCCATTAGAATTATATATGTAAAATACAGAACTGGCCAGACCATTTCTGTGCTGATAAATCTCTGATGGTTTCCATCTCCCTAGAATAAAGTTTGTGCTGCTTAGGATGGCACAGAAGGCCACCTGCAGCTTGACTTCAACTACATAATGGTTTGTCTCTTACTATCTCATAATATAATAAAAATGGGCCTATTTATTTTTCTATCACTAGTGCCTGGCACATAATACAAAATTCAGTAAATTATTTGAGTAAATGAATACATGTAAGTGTGTATGAAGGAATGGGTACAATAAGAAATTTCATTGAAAATGTTTGCAGTTAGATAAGAGATGATATAAAAATCTAATTTAACACTAGCATTTAAGAACAGGTTTTTTTCTTTAGACAGCCGATTTGTCTTTCTCACTGTCTAATCACTCTATCTCTTGTCCTCCATCGATTCTTCATAAAGGAATCCCCTTGGCATTTGCAGTGTCATTTAAGAAGGAATCCTACTTCTCGTGGTTTTCCTCTCTACATCCTGCTCTCCACTCCCTTCTCAGTATTGGGTCTTTTCTTCTAGCTATTAATACTTTCCTTATTGTGTTAGAGATTTGTGTATATGTGTTTCCATACCCACATGTGTGCCTTTTCTCTGTTCTGGCTATAAATTCTGGGTTTAAGGTTTTGCATGTAATTCTGAAACTCTTAGGGTTAAATTATTTCTACAGAACATATAGACAACCATGACCTATTTGTTTTCAACTTAAAATGATTTTTAATTGTGCTTATTATATTTTTCTTCATGTCTTTTTTTTTCTTCAATGTTTTTGCACACTTAGATTGAAAATCTTCAAGAACAACTTAGAGATAAGGAAAAGCAGATGAGCAGCTTGAAAGAACGAGTCAAATCCTTACAGGCTGACACCACCAACACTGACACTGCCTTGACAACTCTGGAGGAGGCCCTTGCAGAGAAAGTGAGTGACTGGCCCAGATTCTTTACAGGCACATTTCTTTTGCTTTCCCATTAATCTAAAGCTGGGTGTAGAATACAGAAGAAATCCCCATGGGCAGAAGGGAAAAGAGCCCTTCTGTGCTGTTGCTGACATACATAGTATAAAGGAGAAAGAAAATCCATTTGGTTGTTGCCAATTTAAGCATTTGCTGCTAGGCAAGATGAATTTCATGCTACAGGGCAGTGGCTGAATTTCCTAAAAAATCAGCCATATGTTCCATATATTTTCTGAAGAAAAAGAAAATTCCTTGTTATTTATATGGTCAACTAGAATTTGGGGATGTGGGAATAGTCGGTATGGCCACCAGGAAGCAATACATAAAGTCTTCCTCTACTATCCCACTTTGGTACTTGATATATTCATGCATTTTAGTTATTAATATAATGTGCTTTCTAATTTTCTAGTCTTGGCCTTGATGCTTTATTTTACCTTTATGATCAAACTCAGTTTTTCAGGAGTGGTTGACTAAAGAAGTGGCCCAACCCCTGATGAATGTTAGTGTTAATGTCTTTAAAGGAGCTTTAGGGAATCTCCTTGGGACATTTTAATTGGATTTTTATAAAAGGGTTAGGGTCACTGTTCTGTAAGTCTCTTGGACTCCGAATGCTTCAGGCTGCCTGCCAAGATCAAGGCTTGATCCCAGAATGTATTTAGAAATAGTACCAGAAATATACTTAAATTGCTTTAATTTTCAAACTTTATGACTATCTGTTGACCGAAAAATGTTTTAATGGTTTCTCTTTTCTTTGCCCTCCTTTAAGGCATTATCCAAATCTCCTCTCTCTCCTTTTTGTTGGTATATGAATTGTGAGCTGTTTGCATTGCCTTATAAGCAACATGTAAATTGTATAGAAAGAAGAAATATTTGTTATTTAAGTTTTTTAAGTTATTAAGTTTTTAACTTATATAAGTTGTTAGTTACTTAGGAATTGAATAAATGCGAAAATTCTAAAAGAATATTTTAGCAATATCTAATACTAGTTGAGATTACAAGAAAAGAACCTTTGGGGTTCAAAAGAACAAAGCCAGGTCCTTATTACAGCAAGATGGATAGGAAGGATGAATTCATTAAAAACGTATCACTGTCTTTTGAACAGAGGATAGAAGTATAGATTTTATCAGCTGAAAACAGAATTACAGTCATATGATGTAAGTATGAAAAGGAATTTCCTCATGTGTTGCTGTGCTCTCTTTACAGGAGCGGACAATAGAACGCTTAAAGGAGCAGCGGGACAGAGATGAGCGAGAGAAGCAAGAGGAAATTGATAACTACAAAAAAGATCTTAAAGACTTGAAAGAAAAAGTCAGCCTGTTACAAGGCGACCTCTCAGAGAAAGAGGTCATGATCAACAAAGTGGAATTATTTTGTTTGCTTAATTATTGCATTGTGTGTACATGTTGTCGGTGTTTACATAGCACATGTAAAAAAGCATTTGCTGGAAGATTTTCTAAGTATTCTTATAGTAAGATTTTTGTAAATACCTTAAGGGATATTTCAGGAAGCTTTGCAGAGATATAGTAGATTAAGTCATTCATGTCCTAAATCTTACTTTATTTGAGATGGTTTCTTTCTTTTTGATGGCACTTTTATAAATCCTAAAATAACTAAAGCCCAGTTACATTTGAATAAATATTGTGTTAAAGGTAAGAAAAGTGATGGACAGAAGGAGGTAAATTTATTTATAACAACAATTGAAGTACATAATGGCTATTAAATTAGGTGACTTTTAATATACTTTGATCCTGCTTTTGGAGAATCATGTTAATGTGACCTAAATAGCAAAAATGCCTAATGCCCTATGATCAGATGATAAAGCATGAGCTTCAGGGTCTTTCTCTGGATTTCTATTATCTTCAGGAATTTTTATGGACATTTAAGTTCCTAATAGAATTTTTCTTCTAAAAGGGAAAAATGTTTTATGTTAAGTTAATGTAGCTACTAAGGTTGACTACTTACAGTCACAAAGTTTAATCTACTTTCATTTATTTTGTGCTAATGAGTATGTATTGATAGAGTTCTTTAAATCTCGGTTCAGTTGGTATTTCTTGGGAATCCATCCTATTTAGTTAGGAATTAATATTTTATATTTCATGAATACTCTGAAATGGAAATATGTCAGTATTTGGTAACGGAAAGAAACTGCAAGCCACCATGATAATAAATTAAAAAATTTAAAGCTCTACTTTGTTTATAATTTGTATTTATTCTGGGTATGTGTTGTTTCTTTTAGGCTTCACTCTTGGACCTGAAAGAGCATGCTTCTTCCCTGGCTTCTTCTGGACTGAAAAAGGACTCACGGCTTAAGACACTAGAGATTGCTTTGGAGCAGAAGAAGGAAGAGTGTCTGAAAATGGAATCACAGTTGAAAAAGGTTAAAGAAAAATTTTTACATACTCTTGCTTTACTTTCAATAAGAACATAGTAGCTAACTCTAGGGTGTTTATAGGGAATAATTTACTGTGGAATAATAATCCCCCAAAGTTCAAATACCATATATAATGTTCGATTAATTCTCTTAGCTTTCTTACCCTACTTTATTTTATTCATGAGAATCCCTAAACTCTTAGAAAAGTGGCAGTTTTGAGGAATATTAAAATATGCAACTCCCTGTGGTGAGATATGAGAACACAATGTAAAAAATCTCAATTACCTGATGTTTTTCTTCCATTATCAGACTTCTAGAGAGAGATAATGTAACAGTGATAGTCACATGCATTGGTGAATATTAGGACATGGCACAGATATTTGTGGTCTGTTTCTTTGATTTATATCTCTCTAATATTTATATAGCACTTTATAGTTTCCTGAACACTTTCATATTTATTACCTTTGAGCTGTCAATGCTGTGAGAATTGCAACTGAAACTTTTGAGTTTCATTAACTAGATCCAGGTCGAATGATTACTAATGAATATGGGTATAGCCTGTCTTGAAACTTCCAGTTTTGGTCTCTTTCCATATATTGGGTGTATTTAACATGATACCTTTATTTAAGAAATGCCAAAAATTAATCATATTTTGAAGCTGAGGAAAGGAAAAAAATCTAGTATCTTAAAGTTACTTTTGAATAAGTAGGAAAGTCCTTTTTTTTTGAGATGAAGGATTACAGTTTTAACCAATTCATATTTGATAGTTGGCTTTGTTTTTGTTTCTCAGTCAAAGGGTGGAGGTGATTTTTCATTTAACACCTAAATATTAAACATGAAGTTATATGTATAGTTACAAAACTGAGCGGTAGTGATCAAGAGTGATGTTAGTCATTGACATTTTAATCTCCCGTTTATGACAATCTCACATTTTCTTTTTATTTTGGATCTATCTTCATGCTTCTGTAGTTGATGCTTCTGTATTTGATGCTTCTGTAGGTCATTTATGTGGTCTGGAATATTTTAGGCTTTACATATAGATTTATGAGAAAAAGTTCTCTTTGGGGAGAGGATGTAGGCAGCTTTCTTCTCCTTTGATTTAGTACCTTTTTTTCTACCCATGGCTGTTTTTCTTTTTGCATTTTCCTATGTTTCATTCTGGACAGTTGTTCCTTTTCATTTTAATTCATTACTGATATTTTCCTATTATACTGCTTCCATGATGCCCTACTCCATAAAGGAGGTTGTTATAGTTTTCTCTTTGTTGCGTTTGTACTTTGTTGTTTTTCCCTCTTTTCTGCCTTCTCTGTTTTTAATTGAGCATTTTGTTTGATTCCATTTTCTCTTCCATTTTAGCATATAAACTGTACTTGTTAAAAAATTTTTAAGTGGTTGCCCTAGGGTTTGCAACATACATTTTAGCTATTCTAAACCCTGCTTCAAATAACACCATCCCACTTCACATTGGGTGTAGGTGCCAACTGAGTATTCCCAATTCCTTGTTTTCTTCCCTTATGACATTGTTATTCATTTCATTTACCCAAATGCTATCATTGCCCAACACAGTGTTACTATTGTTACTTCAGTAGTTATCTTATAGATTATTTAAGAATAAGAAAAATGAAAGATGCACTTTTAGCTTCACTTATTCCTTGCCCAATTTTCTTCCTTTCTTTATGTATATCTGAGTTTCTAACCTATATCATTTTCCTTCTCCTTGAAGAAATTCTAACATTTTTTGTTAGGTAGGTCTCCTGGCAGTGAATTACTCAGTTTTTGTTTATCTGGAGAAGTCTTTATTTTTCATTTACTATTGAAGGATAATTACACTGGATCTAGAATTCTAGGTGATGTCACTGACCCCAACACTATAATATTTCACTGTCTTCTCTTTTTGGTTTTTTTTTTTTTTGTTTTTGAGACAGAGTCTCACTTTGTTGCCCAGGCTAGAGTGAGTGCTGTGGCATCAGCCTAGTTCACAGCAACCTCAAACTCCTGGGCTCAAGCGACCTACTGCCTCAGCCTCCCTAGTAGCTGGGACTACAGGCATGTGCCACCATGCCCGGCTAATTTTTTCTATATATATTAGTTGGCCAATTAATTTATTTCTATTTGTAATAGAGACGAGGTCTCACTCTTGCTCAGGCTGGTTTCGAACTCCTGACCTTGAGCGATCCTCCCGCCTCGGCCTTCTTCTCTTTTTGTTTATGTGGTTTCTGAGAAGTCTCTTGTAATTCTTAACATTGTTCCTCTATAGGTAAGATGTCTTTTTTCCTCTGACTTCTTTCAAGCTTTTCTCTTTGTGTTTGGCTTTCTGCAGTTTGAATATTATGTGTCTAAGTGTAGATTTTTTTGCTGTTTCTCCTGCTTGATGTTCTGTGCTTCCTGGTATATAACATATATCATCAATTTTGGAAAATTCTCAGCCATTATGATGTGAAATATTTCTTCTGCTCCTCTCTTTTCCTTCTGGTATCCCAATTGTGTATGTTGCATCTTTTTTATTTTTTTTTGAGACAGAGTCTCACTTTGTTGCCCAGGCTAGAGTGAGTGCCGTGGCGTCAGCCTAGCTCACAGCAGCCTCAAACTCCTGGGCTTAAGCAATCCTCCTGCCTCAGCCTCCCGAGTAGCTGGGACTACAGGCACGTGCCACCATGCCCGGCTAATTTTTATATATATATATTAGTTGGCCAATTAATTTCTATTTTTTTTATAGTAGAGACGGGGTCTCGCTCAGGCTGGTTTTGAACTCCTGACCTTGAGCAATCCGCCCGCCTCGGCCTCCCAGAGTGCTAGGATTATAAGCGTGAGCCACCGCGCCCGGCCTGTATGTTGCATCTTTTAAAATTACCTCACAGTTCTTGAATGTTCTGTGCTTTTTTTTCTTTGTGTTTCAGTTTGATAATTTTCTGTTGACCTGTGTTCAAGCTCACTAATTCTTTCTTTACCCATGTCCAATCTACTGATGGGCCCATTGAATTCATTCTTCATTTTTTATGTGTTTTTAATTTATAGCATTTCATTTTGATTCTTTATTAGAGATTCCACCTCTCTGCTTTCGTTACCCAACTACTCTTGGATGCTGTCTACTTTTTACATTAGAACCCTTAACATATTAATCATAGTTATTTTAAATTCGCAGGCTAATAGTTCCAACATCTATGTCAGCTATCTGAGTCTGGTTCTAAAACTTGCTCCATCTCTTCACACTATATATTTTTCTTGCTTCTTAGCATGCCTTATAATTTTTTTGTTGAAAGCTGAACATGATATATCAGAGAATAGGAACTGAGATAAATAGGACTATATTGTAAGTTTTTTGTTTGTTTTGGTAATCTGGGTAGAAGTTGGTTGGTATTTATTGTTTGCTGTAGGTGCCAAAGACTTCAAATTCTTCTGGTGTCCTTGTCTCTCCTTTTGACTCTGGGTTTTCCTCTACACAGAGAGTCTGTCTTGCAGCTCTTTCAGCTGTAATCCACTATTACTATACTGGAGCCTTTTGGTGTGGTGGTAACATGGGGGGGGCATTCTGTAATCTTATGATTGTCTCAGTCTTTTACAAGCCTATAACCCTGGCTGTATATTCACAGGAATTTATTACCTTTTTCCCCCCACACTTGGATAAAACTGGAAGGCTAGAGGGGCCTGGAGTGGGAAAAATTTTCTTTTCCCAGGTGGGATAAAGCTTTGGTAAAATCTTTACCCGTGGAGAGCCAGCCTTTGGATAGAGAACACTTTAAGGGTATTACTCAGTTGTCACACTTCCCCTCCCACTGCCAGAACCACAAGAACATTTTCTCAGCTCTCACTGTAAGAACCTGGTAGGGTTCCTGGATGTGTAAAGCCCATGAAACTGGGATGGGGGTTCCCCAAAGACTGCAGCTCCCAGGACTTTCTTACTCACATGTCTACACTCAGCCTCTGGCAATTCCTCAAAATTACCATTTAAGTGCTTCTGCCATCTACCTCTGTTCCAGGTAAGCAGGTCTCGTCCATGACTCCAGATTTGCCTGTCTCTCCAGACTTTGGGGTGGCAATTGCTCTGTGACCTCAGTTTTCTAATAGGTCTAAGAGAAGTCCTTGATTTTCAGTTTGTTTAGCTTTTTCTTGTTGTAAGGAAAGGGGTAATGACTTCTAATCTCTACATGTTAGAGCTGAATGAGTCGTACCTACTAATTGTTATTTTAGGAAGATATTTGTATGAATTTTGCCATTTTGAATAAAATCCAAAGTAATAAAATAAAAATGGTTTTAATTTTATTTAAGAATTAGATTTAGCTTTCTTAATTAACACATAAATATTTATGAAATGAATGTTTCATAAATGTTAACCCTAGGAATTTGAGAATGGATCATAGAAATCTATGAATTAACACTACACCTGTCTTGTACAGCTTTCTCAGTTCAGCTATGTTTCCTACACTCTTAGTATTTATATTGGAATTTTATTGGAAATTGCCTGTATGGGAAAGAAAGAAAAAACTTTGCTTTATAAAAGGTCTTTCTTAGAATAAATGAGAGCATATTTTCTGATTTAAGATTGATATAAAAGATAATAAAATATGAGACTCAGAACCGTTGTTAAATATTCTATTTCAGATTTCATGTCATTCTAGGGAATTCTAGGTCTTGCTGTGGTGCCTAGGCTGGTCTAAAACTCATGACCTCAAGTGATCCTCCCATCTTGGCTTCCCAAAGTGCTGGGATTACAGGTGTCAGCCACTGTGCCCTGCTAATTTGCTATACTTTTTAATACTTCTTAGCAGCTTATTATCCCTAGAATTTTATTTATCTTCATCTTTTGTATTAGCAATCTTTTAGTGCTTTATAGCTTATTTGTAGATTTACATGAAGTACTATTTGGCATATTTTCTTCTTCCTGAATGTTAGGTCCAGAGCCAAGAGGGAGACACACGAAGCCTCAGGTGTAGCAAAATGCTATTTATTTGAGCATCTGGATGGAGGTTGAAAAGAGCATCCACCCTGAGGAAGGCGAGAGCCTTGGGTTTTACAGAGGGTTTTTCCAGGGAGTGTAAGCAACTGGGCCAGAACAGTTGTAATAAATTTTTTTGAAACAACTGGTTTCTGGGACCCCTGTGTCGACAGAACTGTCTGTGGTCAAAGTTAGATTTACAACCTCCAGACTCCCCAGACTCCTGTGGCTATTGTTTCACAGGCCTTATGATCACTATCTGAGTTTTCCATTAACCGCGTTCCATCCTGTACATACTTTCTGGGTTCCCATCCTGAGCAAACCTAACACTGAACGCATGACTGGTGTAATATCATTGTTCTAATTTATATTTATTCAAAAGGCTGTGCTTATCTTTCAAATTTTCAAAGTAAATTTCTTCTCTGTTTTTCTTAGAGTGGGAAATGACTGGTCTTGAGGTAATGATAATTGATGTCATTTTTAATCCATTTATAACTTAAGAATTTATATTCTATACCTGAATTTTGGTATTCTGTGTCTTCAGCATAAGATAAACTCAGAATTATTAATGATAGAGTTGAAACTCAACTTCTGAGTTATCAGAATTATTTAAAATGCTAAATTCTAAATTCTTTTTTGTTTAGAATAAAATATTTGTTTCTAGATTCTGATTTTTTTAATTGAAGCTTTTTTTTAAACCATATTTTTAAATTGTTAGCTTTTCTTTTTCTTGCTTTTCCTACTCTTAAATTATTCATCTACTTTTCTTTCTTGCTTTCTTCCTTCTCCTTCTCACTCCCTTTGGCATCCTGAAATAGTGTTGAGCCACTCCCCTAAGCCCGTGACTGACCTGACAAAGTGTTGCCCCAAAGTCCTGGCCAATAGTTTTTTCTGTATTTTGCATGAATGACTTTTTAATACCCTGTGGAAGAGTGGAAACACTTAACCTTCTCATCTCTCCCTTCCTCAAATAGGACTCCCAGATTTTTTTTTTTAGATGATTCCTTTCTAAGTATATTGGGGTGAATACAAACTAGAAAGGTTTCTGTATGACCAAAATTCTCTCCCAAACTTTGGGAAGGTTTGTATTTCTGTTGTTTTTGCTTTGTGTTGTTCTTAGTGGGTTAATTCATTCAGGGTTGCGGCTCTTTCCCTTTGTTTCTACCATGTTGTGACTTCTAACTACACCAGTTTAGAGTATAATTTTGCTAACACAGTGAAACACGTGTCTGCCAGCAGAATCTCCTTTAAAGGCCGTGCTTCAAAGTACAGCTGTTGCTTCCACAAGGCATTTAGCTCAGTTTACATCAACATCTCTCCTTTACTCAAGGTACTTTGTGGCAGAGCTTTCCTGAGTATATATATTTACTCCTTTAAGGTATATATACACACACACACACTTTATATATATTTTGGAGACAGCATCTTGCTCTGTTGCCCAGGATAGAGTACAGTGGTGTCATCATAGCTCACAGCAACCTCAAACCCCTGGTCTCAGCGATCCTCCTGCCTCACCTCCTGATTAGGTGGGACTATAGTGCATGCCACCATACCTGGCTAATTTTTGTATAATTTGTGGAGATGGGAATCTCACTATCTTTTTGCAGGGTGGTCCCAAGCTCCTGGCTTCAAGTGATCCTCCTGCCTCAGCTTCCCCAAGTTCTAGGGTTACAGGCATGAGCCACCACACCTGACCTCCCTTTAATATTTTTTTAAACCATTTTAAGGGACTAAATATATTTTGTTGTTTATTGAATAAGGCCTTTACCTTCTCATTAAATAGATTATAAATGTAAAAATGTTGGTTTCTACAAGGATGTGGTTATGTGTATTATTCTATAATCATACCTATTTTAGTGAGACATGTATAAAATGCAGAAGAACAGAATTTTTGCCTCCAGTGTATGCATATTGAGGTTTTAATAATGTAAAAGGTAGGCAATTTCTAGTAGAACAGTGCCTGAGGATGGTGACCTTAACTTTTTTTTTTTTTTTTTCAGCAAAGTTTTTGGACTGAATGACCTTAACTTTTGACTAAAGTATTTTAAGGAGGTTGTTCATTGTTAAGTCAGCTTTTCTTGTCCAAAGGTGACATTTTATACAAATTTTGTTATTTCACTGAAGTTGGTAGTTTTTGCTTGTGAATGGTCTTGACCTCCTCATATTCTAAAAACAAAGTGTATAAAATATCTACATTTTTAAAACATGGTTGATGGACAATTAGAATTTAAGGAGTAGGAGAGGGGAGAGGAGAATGAAGCTACATTTAAGCTTGGGCTAATATTTAATTACTGATTATTTTCTCTTCTTCCCAATCATTGTTCTTTACCTACCATAGCCTGTGGGCTATTTAAAATCAAACAGAAACCAGCCCCCTGCTTTGTGCATATTCATTTTTTCAATAAATAATTGAGTTTCTACTTTATGTCAGTTACTATGCTGGACATTGAGGATATAGTGGTGCACAAGACAGACCTGTCCCGTGGCCTCATAGAATTTATAGTCTTTGTTAGGGAAAATAGAGGCTCAAGCAGGTCATTATAGTAAATCACAGGGTGTGATGGAAGCTCAAGTCAAAGAAAACTATTCTCAGTCAGAGTCATGGAGAGCTGAGACCTCAAAGTAAGGACTCACAGTATGTGTGAGACCCAGAACACTAATATGCAGTAGTTATATTTATGGCATTATAAGTAATATATTTATAATAAATTGCTAGAAATCACAGTTATCTCAAGAATACTGAATATCAGCTGGCCTTCAGGTTTGTTTACACAGTCATCTTTTGTGCCCCCAATCCAAGTCCTGTCCTGTTGCCTATTTCATCTCTTTTCTTTGTGGATACTGGGAAGTTTCTCAATTACTCCTGCTTCTGATTGCATCTTCAGTCTCTTCTTCTTTGCTGTTTTCCTCCCTCTTTGTGTATAAATGTGGTCAGCTTTCTATAAAATATCTCCTGATCTTGATATTTCTCATACTGTCCTCTTTCCTCTCTCCCTGTTAGACATATTTTATTTTAAAAGCATTTATAGTTGGGCACAGTGGCATGTGCCTGTCGTCCCACCTACTCGGGACACTCTAGCAGGAAGATTACTGGAGCCCAGAAGTTCAAGGCTGCAGTGAGCTGTGATCATACCACTGCATTCCAGCCTGGGTGACAGAGTGAGACCCTGTCTCTAAAAAAAGACAAAAATGTCCGCTTTTCCTGCCTATGAAGAATTAACTGCTACAGGAATTTCCTTCCTACCATTGATAAGTCAGAAACTGGGAAAACAATGTGAAACAACTGATTTTAGACATTGGACAACACTTAATGCAGAACAGTGATCTTTTTACCTTCCAAACTTGTATAGTTTTTGTTTCTTAAAATACACTTCACAAATATGTCAAAGTTAAAGGTTGGGGAAGCCAGTAGTTAAGACAGGTAAAATCATTTTCACCAAATGTGAAAATTTCATCACAAATGAGCTTGGTAAAGGACTTATCTTAAAAGTATAGCTGTTACTTTCACAAAGCCTTTAGCACAATTTACATAAATATTTCCCATTTACTTGAGGTACTTTGCTTCAGAGCTTTCCAAAGTGTTAATATTTCCTGAAAATATATATTTGCCCCTTTAATATTTTTTCAAACCATTTTGAGGGACTAAATATTTTCACTTGTCTGTTGAATAAGAAAAAGCATCTTGGTCTTTGCCTTCTCATTAAATACATTATACATGAATGGCTTTAGAGATTCAGGAGGAAATTGAAGGACTTGAAAATTCATTTTTAATTATTGAAAGAAGCTGCTTTGTATTACAAAATGCATTGATGCTATTAGTTGACTTTTGTAACAAGATCCTGAATAAAAATTCTTTTCTCAGTTCTATGCGTGGTTCCTGATTTCTGACTTCATTTATCTTTCTCATATTATCTTACAAGTGGTGGTAGCCATTTTCTTAAGCTAACGATGGCATCACATTGCAGTGTCTGTATGGTTCTAGATACTGAGTGTCACAGGCGTCACACGTTTGGTAAAGCAGCAGTACAGGAGATGGAAATGGAAGTCAGGGTGTAGTGACAACTGGGTCTCTGCCCTAGCAGATCAGCAGTGAGTCCCTGGAGGTGCCTTTGATATTATCTTGGAGAGATCAATCGCAATCCAGTGGCTTGTTAGTATGTCTAACTAAACTCTGGATCATCTCTTGGGTTAAGATGGTTTTTATCATACTCTTTGTCATACTCTTGATCAGCCAAAAGGCTGAGAAGTGATGATTTTTGGCCTAATAATAAATATCTAGAGATATTTTGGTTTAAAAAAACGAATCCATTTGGACTCTAATATAATTCTCCATTTGTTACTAATCTTTTTGTTTATGTAATACTTAAGCAGATAAAACCTTATAAATTGAAGACTAGCTGTTAGATATTTGATAATACTCTATTTAAATTGGAATATAAATAGTTCTTTGGGACATGGTTTGCCCATTGCTGCTATATGTTTATGTGATGGAATTGGAACACTTTTCTTTGTAGGCACATGAGGCAACATTGGAGGCCAGAGCCAGTCCAGAAATGAGTGACCGAATACAGCAATTAGAGAGAGAGATTACCAGGTACAAAGATGAATCTGGCAAGGCCCAGGCAGAAGTTGACCGCCTCTTGGAAATCTTGAAGGAGGTGGAAAATGAGAAGAATGACAAAGACAAGAAGATAGCTGAGTTGGAAAGGTAAGGAAAGGAAAGCTGAATGGGACTCTCAAAGTTAAAAAAGTTGAAGTGTGTACTTTGGGGGGGGGGTATACTTTTTCGATATATCTGCCTCTGGGTTTAGGTTCCTGAGTGCTTGATATTTCTTTATTATCTACTTTTTATTCTAAGTCAGTGTAAATTCTTTATTGCAGCATCTATTAATAGAAGGCAGCATGGAATGGGAATAAATTAGGAAGCTATGGACTTCAACCTCATTGATTGACAAAAAAGAAAGTATTCATTAAGAAATTGAAGTTTTTTACTGACTAATCAAGAGAGTACAAGTAGCTATCTATTTGCTTTTTATTATTTTTTCTCTAACAATGAGGTAAATGATCCTCAAGTGTAAGGAGTTAGTCTTTTATCATTGGTTTAGACTTTTTTTGTTAAGCCGATGCTCCTTTGGGCTATGAATTTTTAGACTTTTCACAGTTTATATTGTTGAAAAGCAAGCTATTACATCAGTGTATAGATCAAAATCAGAAGAAGGAGGGACATTGAGGATAATTTAGGAGACTTGGATGTGATTTTTATGGAGCTCTGACTTTGAATTCTTCAAAATATGCTGTGCTTTAGCAGATCCAAGCAGACAACTCTTAGAATTTTGGGAGGTCTTTTTTTCTCATTAGAATATTTTATACTAAATATAAAGCATATGTTTCTTGACTTCATCTTTTACACTGTATTTTAACATAAATTCACAAGTGTATAGAAACAGCTCTTCCAGTAGAACTTCATTAATTACTCATATTCTTCTGAACAACCAGAGAGCCTGACAGTGACACAGTGAAGTCACTAATCTGTGTGGTCCCTTTGGGGCTGATCCTTAGGAATAATTTATTTTCATATGCTCTTAAAGGCTGAGAATTAGATTACTTCCATACATTGTTTACTAAGGTACATTTTTTGGCTTATTGGTAGACTTGACATTTTTCTCTGAAGTTGTTATTTTCTCCTATTCTATACCCATAGAATTTTAATTTTCAAGAAACTAAAACAATAAATTCCATCCCTCACAGTTTTCTTTTGCTGTACTAAAAGTGTAAATAACATGGGCTCATTACTTGCTCACTTGTTTCCTTTTATTTTGATAATAACTCTATTTAAATAGTTTCTCTAGTTCTGGACAAGAAAAATGAATACAATTCTTTAAATGAGAACTTAAAAATTAAGATTAGATTATGTGTGTTTTTGTATGTCTTTTTCTTACAGCACACACTTCCCTTCAACACGCATGCATGCACGCACGCACACACACACACACACACACACACACACACACACACACACACACCTTCCATACATGAATGGGCCTGAAACCAGCAGCTGAAATCAGCAGCAATACTGCATAGATGTTAAAATACAATATTTTTGATTAATTACTTCCCATTAAGTATATTTCAGAAGAGAAATTCCTTGAGAAAGTTTCATTTTATGGCTTGATTTCTTGTATTAGAAATCTACATTTGAAACTATTGCTTGCTATGGCAGCTTGCTTGAAAAATGTTTTTGATTTATTTTTGGCTCCAGTAGTGATTTTGGGAGATGGATGTGAATTGAAGGAGAGTAAGAATTCAGACAATGTCTATATTTGATATCCAAAGTGCACCAAATAGCAGCTTTTATTAACCAGCATATTTCTCTCATTTTGAGAAAGAGTTGAAAATGATCTACTGTTTCCACAGAATGTAACTCTTACAAGCTGGAGAAAGCACTATAGGTTCTGTCCATTGGTCCTGCAGGGTGTAATTTTGTTTTAGGATTTGACACAGTTTCTTGGCTACTGAAATTAAAGAAACTGCTTTCCTAACTCAATGTTTGCTACCAGCTTTGTAATTTGTTACTCAGCAACATAGTTTAAGATATTGAATATACAGCAGCATCATAGAATTTGTGAAAGAGATTGACCATGGCATTTTATGAGAAAGGAAACCAAGAACCCGAGAAGTTACCCTTGAAGTTACATAGTGGCTGAGCTGAAGCTAAGAGCATGGGATTTTTAAATTCCATCTGTTTTCTTTCTTTTCCACCAAGGCTAGTTATGTTCTTTTTAGACTTACTGGCAACTGTTATTTGAAGTGTTCCTACTCTAATGTGATTTAATTTTTTGTCCTGTATTGACCCAATGTCTTAAGCAGAAGTGGCTATCTTTAGTATTATGGCTTGCTTAGAAACTATGATAGATTTTAGTTTTACTTATGCCCTTGAAAGGCATTCTTATAAACTGAGCTCTGCTTATTCTAGGAGATAATCAGTACATTCTGTGTCAAAGACAGTAGGGGTTATATTGTACCTTTCCCCCCAAGATTTAGTACTGATTTGCATGCATGTGACTGCTGTGTTTCTTACTAACCATTTGCTTCATCTGTTGCCATTCCCTGTTTCCTACTTGTGGGTGTCTGTCTCCATGTAATTTATCATTTGAGTTTTGTCACCTTGCTTTTTATCTTACCATGGTCCTGTTCCATTGGCATTTTGGGTGTCTACATGTGTATACATGTGTATTCCCTATCCCCCTGGGCCATGCTGTTTCTCAGAAAGCCAGTCTCTCCCAAATTGCACCCTCCATGCCAGGTTTCTGTCCCTGTACCATCAGGGTTGTTTTTTTGGGGGGACTTCCTGGGAAAGTGAGTGTTATGTAAGGCTATAGTCTTATGCTACAGTGAATTGCTATTGCTGTTCTGCTACTACTGCTGCTGCTGGGGCTTGCTGGGAATTTTGCTTGATCAGAATTAAAGAACAGCCAGGTATGTCAAGTGGAACTGTACCTCTTGGGTACCAGGCTTTTGGATAAAATCAGTCTGTGTTCACTCTGGTGAAGTTCTGATATTGCTAGTTGTAATTGTTTTAGTCTTTGCTTTAGTCCATCTTTTATGTGCTGGTTCTTATGCTGGAATGCTGTTTAAGCAGCCCCTCAACTCAGGGGTCCTCAAACTTTTTAAACGGGCCAGTTCACTGTCCCTCAGACCGTTGGAGAGTGCATGCTGTGGGCCTGGGACGAGTGGGCTGGTAAGCAGGACAGGCAGGGCGGCAAAAACACCGGGAGGGCCAGATAAATATGCTAGGTGGTCCACATGTGGCCTGCGGGCCATAGTTTGAGGATGCCTGCCTTAACTGATGTAACTGTAGTGCCATACTGTAATTCAGCATATAGAATTCATTTCTTAAGGATGTTCAGTAACTTTCTAAGTGCAAAAATAAAAGCAGACAGTTAAAATAATTGAACTCAAGAAAATTCATAGTATTCTTTGCACTTCATAGTACTTATTATGTAAGGATCTTCAATATTAAAAGGTTTAGGTTATGTCATGAAGAGTTCCCAGACCTGTTCTTTGTGGTCTAGAGAAATAGACAAATAGTCCCTTCTCATGTTGGCTCTTACTGAAAATAGCAGTTCCTGTCAAAAGATGATTTAGTGTTATACTACTCTCTTGACCTATGGCAATTTTAAAAGGAGGATTAGGTAAGCCAACCTATACATCTGCAAATATAAAATGTTTTCCCAATTAAATCTAAGAACTGCTATTTCTAAATTCATATTCCATACTGTGGTGTATGTTAGAATTCAGAGAGAGAAGCAGAACTAGAAGGATACACACACACACATATACACACATACACACATATACATACATACACACACCAGAGAGAAATGTATGTACATATATTAAGAGACTTATTACAAGGAATGTCTGGTGTGACAGCAGGGCTGGCTGGGCAAGCCTGAGATCCCTGTGGCAGGCTGTCAGGAAGAAGCCTGAGCAGAAGGGAACTGCTTCAGGCACCAGCCAAAGCTGTGAGCCACAGGCAGAATTTCCTTTCTCAGCCCTTTTTAAAGAACTTCCAAAAGATTCAGTTATGCCCACAGTTATGCTTATCTAGGTTAAGCTCCCTTACTCAGACTGATTGGAGGCTTTAATTACATCAGCAAAATACCTTCATAGCAACATCTAGATTAGAGTTTGACTGAATACCTAGCCAAGTTAATACTTTAAGAAAGTCATCATCTGGTGGTTCTGGAGAGTCTAGATAAGACAACCAACCAAACCAGACTGGAAATGTCTTTATGCAAATAGATAGATTAGCCTCAGGAACCCTGAATGTAATTGAGAATCTCTCTCCCAACATGAGCATATTAGAGTTTCTATTTAGATTAATTATGATTAGGCTTTTCTTTGGCATAATGTTTAAAATATTTAGAGGGAAGAATACTGGAGACTGATAGAATCCTAATAGTATTTTTTCCGACTCTAGAAAGAATTGTTTATTGTCTGCTCTTTCAATCACACTGTCCCTCTCGGCTAAATACTTATGTTATAGCATGACACTGGGAACATTGTCCCCTGTGCTGTATATTATATTATGCCTTAGAATTTTTTTACTTGCTTTATTACCTTTTTTCTAATATCAAAATGAGGAATGAATTCAGAGTTCAGTGTTTATGGCAGAAATCATCAGTTTTACTCTAATGTGAGATTCATTTTGATTAGATTCAACATGCTATTCAGAGATTTTTGTATTTAGAGAATGGCAACTGTCTTCTGATTTTCATGTGAGTTAGATATCAAGAATTGCCTTTGGTTTATCAAAATTGTCAATGATCTAAAGAATAATAGAGTCTGTTATTGTGTGAGCTAAAGAATTAATAGAAAATGTGAATTTACTATATTTCCTGATTTGAGGGAATATAAGAACTAAGATTTTAATGGATACAGAGTTTATTTTGAGGTGTATTTTGAAATTTAGCAGAGGGATTATTTATGGGGTAGTCAGAAAAGACCTGTCTCATAAAGTGAGGTTTGACCAGACTCTTGGAGGTTCTCTGTAAGAAATCCTCAGATGTCCTTAAAGCACTCCAAACCCCAAAACTTTATTAAGGTATAATTTACATAAAATAAAATACACCCATTTAAAGCTTATTGTTTGAGATTTAATAAATGTATACACTAGTGTGACCATCACCACAATCAAGATATAGA